ACAGAGTAGATAGGAGGTCTACTACAAGCTAGTTACTCTAACTCAGTGTTTCATGAAAGGACAAAGCACATTGAAGTGGGTTGTCACAAGTTGAGACAAGCTGTGGAGCAAAAAATTATTCTACCGTGCTATACTAGAAGTGAAGAATAGCTAGCTGATATCTTCACTAAAGGAGCAAGTACTAAGGTCTGGTAGTTCATTCATCCAAGATTGGGACTCACAGACTTGACTAGATCTTGATCCTCTTAACCATGAAGCATCTACTCTTTGTCCTTTTGTGTGCTTTTATCCCATTGGGTTTTTCACACAAAAGGTTTTAATGAGGGACAGGGCCGGTCCTGTCCAATTTTGGGCCTATGGGCGATGTACTATTTTGGCCATATTTTCAAGACAATTAAACAGTAAATTGTACTTCGTACTTTTTAAAGTAAAAAATTACGGAGTTTAATAAAACTAGGAGAAATTACTCTAAATACGACTAAAAACGTTTGTACATTCCAAACTATGATTATCATGATTTTATTCTCTAAATAGAAGTAATTACTGTCATATTTTGAAAGTGTCATATTTTACACATGTAGTATTTTCCGAACGTAACAGTAATTACTTCTATTCAGAAAATAAATACATGAGTCTTATTTTGAAATTAAAAAAAAAAACTTACTCATATTTCAGGAATTCTCCCTACAACTATCTAATAAAGGTTATAAAATAAAGATGAAATTCACCTTCATATTATTTGAATTGCATATTAGGACAAAAGTAACAACACACGTATCACAAAATTAAAGAACATTGTGATGTAAAATAATCAATAATTGATTTATAATCAATTTTTCCAATATCACATGTGCAATGTTTAAAATTTCTAATCCATTAAGTTTTTTGAGACATGACATAATAGATAATTGTGATGATGTTTAAGAATTGGGAGACACTGACAGCCCAAAGATAATAATATAAATTGGTCATTTTGTAATTAATCTTAAATGCTAAAAAGATGTGAAGAGACGTGCTTTTATTGATTCAACAATAAATGTGATGACTTTCAACCAACTCTATTTAAAAATCAAAATTAAATTTATATTCTTTTTTAAAACTTGTCTAGCTCCGTTAAAAACTTTTTCTTATGTTTTAAAACTCTCGAATTCTCAACAAAAATTAATCATTAGACATAATTATTTAATTGAAATTATGAATAAAAAAAGAAACCTATTCAGATTACATATAAAGAAAAAATTTGGGCCTAATTTTCTTTCTACTTTTTTCGGGCCTAGGGCGGTCGCCCCTGCTGCCCTCCCCCAGGACCGGCCCTGATGAGGGATGTCTTCATGAGTTCGAAGCTTAACCATACCTTATGGTATAGCTTGGGGGGAGTATTGACATTAAGAATTGAAAGGCTAGAATGAACAGTATCCGCAGAGCTACAGTAAAAAAACATATAGATATTTTGTTTTAGCTTCTTTTGTAAGCCAAGTGTGTTTTGTTTCTACTACTTTCTCTATTTAACCTATTGTAATGATATTATTTTGATCTAAGGAAAAAGTATCTCCTTCTTTACTCGTTGCTCTCATCTCTCTCGCTTGTTCCTTTCTTAGTTCTTCATTTTCTTACACTAGTTAGATCGGTCTCGATTCTGAGTTCTAACAACTTCTCTGGTCCCCCACCGATTACAATAACGTAATTTATAATTTCTCATTTCGGTAAAACTTGATATTGAATTAAAGATATATGGATGGATGAAATATTTGACATTATGGGAAGGAGTGCACGTATGAAGCCATTAGTTTCTATTTACTTCCGGTATCCACAAATACCATTTCATCTACAATTTTAGAATGACAGAAACCCATTCTGTCTTGCGTGCTGCTAACTTTCATTTCACAATCACTATATGCTCCAATAAAAGCCTTAAACATTTCATCTTATGCATATTTTAAAGCCATCGAAATAAGCTAATTTTCATCAACAATGGAAATTGTTAAGGGTTTCAAATTAAATATGACTAAATATAGAATGAGAAAAATATTTTGGTAGCTTATTGTTAAGATTTGGGGTTTCATCCTAAAAGGTCAACCTGATAGGAGGAGTAACCCAAAACTTTATATGGTGTTTAATTGTTTTATAGTTTTCCGGTGTGAGATAAATGCTTCAACACTTATTCAATTATTTGCCGGCTAAAGGGTCAAATAGGTACATGAACTAACCTAAAGTGTTCAATTAGCCCCTTATATAGGAGTTTCTGCCCGGACGTCGCCAATTGGGGCGGTTCCCGGTGGAAATTTTTGATGAATTTTTTTGAGCATCTTCTTCATTAAGTCTAGTGTACCCAGACCAAATTTCAGCTAAAAATTCAACCGGGAAGGCAGTCGAATGATTTTCTGAAAATTAAACAGTGCAGTACATTTCGGAAAATAATTCGACTGCCTTCCCGTTTGAATTTTTAGCTGAAATTTGGTATGGGTAAACTAGACTTAATGAAGAAGATGCTCAAAAAATTTCATAAAAAAATTCCACCGGGAACCGCCCCAATTGGCGACGTCCGGGCAGAAACTCCTTTATAAGGGGTGAATTGAACACTTTAAGTTAGTTCATGTACCTATTTGACCCTTTAGCCTTATTTGCCATGTAATTAAAAAGATAGGAGGCCGGGAGAAATAAATACGATGGAGTAGCTTATTCAGGGTTGGTTTGCAAATGCTTTAAAAAAAGCACTTGTCAGCTTTTGGATTTAAAAGCAATTATTTTACCAAACACTACCAACTTTTATTTTTCTCGGCTTTCGTGTCAAAAGTGCTTTTACTTTTTCTATTACATAAAAAGCATTTAGAGCCCGTTTGGTAGCACGAAAATCGGCTGTTTTGGCTGATTCTGCTGAAATTTATGAAGTTCTGACTGAAGTGGCTGCATTGGCTGATTTTGCTGATTTAAGAAAAAATTGTTTTTAAAATATATTTTAATAATAAAAAAAAGAAAAAATTATATGTAAAAATAGCTAAAATGATCATCTACAGTAACTTCAGCCAATACAGTCAGAAAAATAACTTCAACCTTACTTTTCAACTTATTATACAATTTAGCGCGCGAAAATAAAAATTATGTGTTTGCTAATAAAGTTGGCTGATAAGCCTGATAAGCTGAAAAACAGTGGTTCCAAACGGCCTCTTATTTTACCAAACATTACCAACTTTTACTTTTCAAAATCATTTTTTTCTCAAACACTATCAACTTTCATTTAATCACTTCTAACCATTTCATTAAAAAAAACACTTTTTTTAAAAGCAGAAGCTGTTGCAAACAGACCCTCAGTTATTTGCCAAGTCATGGAAAGGATAATTTTAAGGCTAAAGGGTCAAATAGGCTCCTGTACCCATCCAGAATGCTCAATTCGTCCCTTGAACTACAAAAGGTTTCAATTGGCACACTGAACTGGATAAAAGTTTCATATTTGACAATTTAGAGTTAACCATCCAGTCAGCGCCACATCATCAGGTCATGTGCTAATTGTGCATCTCATGTATGCGCCTTAATTTATATGCATTTTTTCATGAATATTACTAAATTAAATTCAAAAGATAAAAATATGATTTAAATTTAAAATTTCCCAAAAAAATGACATATTCAGTAACTAGTTCCTAGTGACTTGATCAAAACCTATGAGTGACGTGTTACTCTGAAATATAATATAATATAATAACTTTTGTTCAGCTACTCGTATATAGTGACTAGTCATATTTGTGCGCGGGAAACTTAGTAATATACATGTCCTTTTTTCTAGATTATACTCCATACTATTTTACTGGTTCTTTTTCTATTTTTATTTCCCTTCACATTTTATTTACATGATAAATACACAAGGTGAGGTGGGCTCTTATTTAAATTTTCGATTTCTAAAAATTAGGACTTGGATCCATAGATTAAATATATCAATAAACGTAAGAAATCAAATCAATTGTAATAAATTTACTCAAATCATTTTCAACTTGGTAATCCAAACCGAACTTAACCACTATCAAATCGAACTGAAATAACAAATTATTTTAGTTTACGACAATATCTCTAAAATCGAGAAAAATAACGGAATTGTCAACCCCTAACTTTTTTTGAACGTAAGCAGGTAACAAACAGACAAAGAGCCTCATGTCTACCGTCTGCCCTTGAACCGGACTTAGAATCTGTCACCTCAAAAGAAGCATCCAGATTCGCTGATCCTGAATTGGGCATACCTGAGCCAATGACTGGTAAACTAGGCTCTTCACCACCTGTTCTAGAGTCTTGACAAATATAATATTTTGCAAAGATAATATACCATTATACCATAAATCTCACCTTTCACAAAGATAATATTTTGCAAAGATAAGAAAATAACTTGGAATAGCAGGTCATCAACCGGTCAGGGACCAGTGAATGAAGATGAGGTGCAAAGGTTAGATTATTCATGAATAATCAAAAGGTGGGACTATTGTAAGAAGACCGCTAAAAGGTTGAATTATTAGTTTCCATTTTCCCTTTTGTGAGCCACAAAAATAGGGTGCGGGTACAAATTGAGGTACCAATTGGGGTACCTTTAGCATTTTTCAAAAACATAAGCACATACTCCGTAAAACTTTGAAATTTATCAGGTTTAAAATGATTAAAACAGTCTCTATTCTGATTTTCTGAACCAATTATTAAAATTACTTGGTATAATGCAATCATTATAAAATCCGAGCATTAATAAGTAACCTACAGGTTAAAGTCTGAATCAACTATAGGTCAGACTTCTATTTATTACTACCTACGTATGATCAAGCTGTTCATTCAACTAGTCAACTACAGTTTTATTAGGATATTATCTTGATTTCAAATAGGTCACATAAGTTACAAGCAGGTAATTATCTCATTAAAGAACTATTTGACCTTAAGAATCCCAAACGTAACATAGTTGGTTGATCGAACAAATAATATCCGGATTGAGTAATCATCACATCTATATAAACCACTAACCAAACTCTCTTCTCATTCAACAAAAAAAAGTAAGATAACAAATTTGAAAAGAAAAAAAGCATATACATAATATACCATCAACTCCCTATCCATCTTTCAATGGCCTCTCCTAATTGTTTCCAATCAAAGACCATACACCCCTCTTCATGGAGCATCATTGTAGCATTTCTGCTCATTTCTCTCATTTTTAACTCATCTTCAAGCATGGGAATGAGAACAAAAACCATGAGAGACTCTGATAATGGTGCTCATACCATGTGGTCACAGACTGTGAGGGAAAATCATCCCCATAAGATTAGTGCAACCACTCATAATGATGGTGCTAATACTATGTGGTCAAAGCCTGAGAGGCCATTTGATCCGGTCCACAGGAGTGGTCAAACTAATGAGAATAATGGTCATCTTCATGGAGTGACACTCAACATGCTGCCCAAAGGTGGACATATCCCTCCTTCTGGTCCATCATCCCCAGAATACTATAGGCGCAATTAGCATGGTGGCCATATCGGGATTATTATTAAATATGATTACAAATAGATACCCTTATAAATAAAATATTAAACAAACTTTATTTACGCTATTGTAATTATTAATATTTATATACCTATATAATTAATTAGTATTCCTACTTTCATATAATTAGCCACAATATGAAGTTGTATTGTACGGGCGTGTTAATTGCTATAACTTAATTAGGGTTTATGATAATGCATCACAACTTCATTGTGGCACAATAGATTCTGTGCAGTGTCCTGCTCGGTACTCACCCATATTTAAAAATATTACAGAGTATACAAAAATTGGGAGGAGTGTTGTAAGGGAAGTCATGATTTGTGTCCCAAAATTCTATTCTCTTTCTTATTTTCTTTTATGAAATGATTAGTGTGGCTGCTATTCATATCTTTACAATTATACAGTTTAGCTTTCCAAATAACTTCAAATACTAATTTATAATAGTAACTTTAGTCAACTAACTTATATGCAATATGAAATGATTAGTGTGGCTGCTATTAATATCATTGGGCTAGCTGCTAATATGTCTTTACTATTATTTCATTAAAAGGAGTAAAAGGGTATGGCTTTTAATGGTGAAGTTTCATATTGAAAATGGTATATATGATACTCCCTATATACGCAAATTATACCGTGGGATCGGCCCACCATCCTCAAGGTGTACCGATCCCAAAACGGTACCGTTTTTTCTCAAAAAATTACAAAGCCTCTCACACCCTCTGCAACTGCTCCTTCATTTACTCTGCCTGCATCTGCTTCGTTCCCTAATCTACCACGCTTCGTCGGGTCGCAGGTAGCCTTCCAGAACTACCGCCGCAGATGGTCGTCCAGCCTGCCGTCGCAGATGGGCCTCTAGATTTTTCGTTCCTGCCTTTGTCGTTTTGACCGCACTAAATTTGCATCTATGTTGCAATTTGTCTAGTTGAAGGCTACCAAGTGTGAATGGATTTCATCTCTGTCGCAGATTTCTCTCGATGAAGGCTGTGAATGGATTTCATCTCCGTCGCACATTTGTTTCCTAATTTCCATCGATTTATTTAGTTTAGACTCTTGGGTGTCTACTGACTTTCAATTAATTTAGATGCTTGGGTCTCTTGATTTTCCTTCGTATCTATATCTCAAAGAGGACAACTTAATTAAACACTATTAGATAATTTATGTTTTGATTTGATCAAATTACATTTGAAAATAAATGTAGTTACATCACAATTTGCCTAAAGTTACATATTTTATATCGTTAGTTACATGTCAACTTTTCTTAACAAGTTACATTATGTTTACAATTGATTTACATTTTCCAAAACGCGTGTTACATCATTATATAGTGTGAGTTACACAACCTAATAAGCTCCTACTATTAAAATAAAAAATATTTTATAAAAAAATTATTTTTATAACCGTAATGGAAAATTTACATGTTGAACATGACTGCTATAAACTATATTAGATCTTCCTCACGTTACATCAGGACTTGTATAGAGTTACATATCTTATACCGTGAGTTACATGTCAACTTTTCTTAACATGTTACATCATATTTACATTTGATTTACATTTTCCAAAATGCGTGTTACACCACAATATAATGTGAGTTACACAACACCCTGCTATTCAAATAAAATTATTTTTATAAAAAAATCATTTTTATAGTCTTGGTATTAAAAACAAAACATATACACTATTTATGTAAAATAATTGGGCAATAGACTTCTTTTTCTCATTGAAATCAATATTTTATTTCTTATATTATGTATTGGACAAGTTACACTTCTGTTAGACTTGAGTTACATTCATCAATAATGTGTGTTACATGTCTTTACACGTGAGTTACACCATTCTGCTACTGGAACAAGAGAAAAATAAAAAGAAGTACTGTACACGCGTGTACTGTTGACGCGTGTACTGTTCATGCGAATTTTTTAAAACTATTGATTAAAACTATGTCGTTTCTGGAGGTGGAGCATGATGCTCACCGTGGGATGATCCCACGGTATACGAACTGCTCCGTCCCTGATTGTTCTTCCAAATTAAAGTGGCACGGTGATTAAGAAAGTGAAAATTGTGTGGTGGAGAGTTGTGCTGAGGAGAGAAATGTTGTGAACCACAAATTCTTTGCCAAAAAGGGAAAGTGAAGTTCTTTTTGGGACGGACGAAAAGGGAAAGTTGGAAGTAAATTAAGGGACAGAGGGAGTATATATTTATTTAAAAAAGTGTAGAACTAAAGCATTGAAACCAGCGCAAAAAGTGTATAAACTTTGAACAACATTTTTCTAGCATTTCATCATAGTATAATATACTAATTCGTGAAGTCTTCTTGAGACATGGTTGACCGTGTAGTAGAAATATAATTAATTAATTATTGGCAATATCTTCAACTTGAAAATTAAGCAATTCTTAATTAGGTTATGTTGTGGGACAGGTAACTAGGATTAATTAAATCTGTTTCAATTATAACAAAACCGTTCAATTCAGGTCACAATCCTACGTACTGTTGATTATTTCTTCTAGTCAACCATTCAGTTACTTCTCAACTCCACTTCGTATAGTCAACCTATTGAACTCTGGCTATTATATATCTGTATTTCAATCTAAGTATTGCATGCACTCACTATTATTAATACTCCGTATTAGTATTAGTTTCCTATTCATAGTGTTAAGGTTATTGTTATTTCCTTAATTATATTCAGTTTTAGTCAACTTCTTATTAGTTTTTAGCTTTAAGTTTCTTATAATAATTAGAGCTCTTTTAATGGATATCTGAGAGACATTAGTTTTGTTTGATAAACTATATTTTGAGAGAATTAATTCTTGTATGTCTCTACAAGGCTGGGTACCGAATAATTACAAATTCAGCAAACCTAAACGTATTCGTAATCTCTTTTGTTCATTTCCCCAAGATCTGAGACGAGCATTTGTGTTTGCCCATCTCTGTTTTGCTCATATTTTAGCCAGGGGAAATCATAGGATATCTCGTTAGCATGACTGAGACATGATTCATTAAAAAACTATTGACATGCTAATAAGTTTAAGAGTTGAAGGACATTGGATACCAAGAGGGTGTTTGTTTCACCTTAATCTAGTGCGCGAAAAAAGAAGGATCTGGGAGCTAAGTCAACTCCAGAATTCCCGGCTTTGAACATAGTAATGGTTGTCCAAACTAGAGCTGCTCTTGTTAAGATCTAAAGTCCATTTTTCAAATGTACAATCAACAAAGTCATAGTATCCCCCATGGACCATGGACTAAAAGCTCTAAATGAGTTTTACTATGCATATTTTTATAGTTTTATTTGAGTGTGCTAAGGAAGTATCTCTGTAAATAATACTACATAAAGCATCCGCAGGTAGTAAAAGGTTTACTTTGTAGAATTGTAGGCTGAACCATAAAGAAGCAATTTCAATTGGAATAATAAGGTTTACTTGCTGCCATAGTACTACTGTTATGCTTAAAGTGCTTAAAGTGTAACCTTGTCTATTTTTTACAAACAGGTACTATTTTGCTTAAAGTGTTACTGTTCTGTTCAGTCCAATTGGTTTTTTATAGTGTTAAAGACCAAGATGCTTTCTTGGATAAACTGTGGTATCCGTGCTTTCTCATTTAAGCACTTTAAGTACTTCTCTGAAAATCCCCATACTGCTGTCTTTTTACTCGATCTAGCACTGATAAGTGCTACAATTCTAGAATTAATAGGCTTTAACAATCGCTTTGAGTTACTTATTGGACTGAAATTGGCTTCACCAGTCACTTTCCTTTTATCAAATTCAACATAAATAGTCTTTTCAATCAAATATATTAATTAAATTTAATTATCCGCTGATTGTTACTAGGTTACAAAAAGTATTTTTGATTAAGGTCGCCAACTATTTTTTACCTTTTCTGGGCCAACATATGCACGACCTAGATTCCTATATAAAGCATTGTAAAAAATGTCTTTGATAGTATATGTTGACCGGGCTGTTATTCATTGTGTTTAGGAGAAGACATGTCTTCGAGGGCTTCAGCATCGCGCGGTAGTGGTCGCCCGATTCGTGGTCGTGCAAATAACGCTGCTTCTTTTGGTACTGGAATACCCCGAAACATACCTTCAGGGGAGCAAATAACTAGACAGAATGTTCATCGCTTACACAACACCCCCCATCAAATGCAAGTGGCTTGTTTGCTTCAGATACAAGGGATGAACCATTTACGCAGCCTAATGTGACACAAGAAAGTGTCCCACACACAGCCCCACGATCACATTGTACTCGGCGAGTAAGTAATTTATTTGAAATATCCAATTATTCTTGTACTGCTTCAACTATAAATGTGGTTCCTAAAAGTTTGTTATTAAACTTTCTTCATTTTTTGTAGTCTGGAAGTAAATGATAAAGTGAAAAAGTCTTTGGAGACTATTGCCACAAAGTTGTTTACTGGATGGCCACTGATACGCGTGTAATTTCCGTGTGTATGTTTACGTTTTTAGTTAGTTTTGGTTGTTTAATATTTCGGAAATTACACACTTTTGGTGTAATAGTTATGTTTGTAAAATAGCTGTAATATGTTTAGATTAAGTTTATTCTGACCTTAAACAGGTCCAAGATCAATCAAATGATCATTGGTGAATGAAGGTGCAAGAGTACAAGACAAAAAGGAGGCAAAATCCTGATTTTTGACCTGTACCCGGTCGAGTAATACATATACTCGATCGGGTACCAACTGGACTTTCAATCAGATCAATCAGGAGACAAAGGGGTGTGCAGGGGAAGATTTGGCCACGATCAGTTGTCATACCCGATCGGGTACACCGATACACCCGATCGGGTATGCCTTGCATTTGCACTCTGAAATCGATCGAGTATGCCTCAAAACTACACTTTTTACACATACCCGATCGGGTACCCTATATATACTCGATCGGGTACCCGAACTGCACTCCCAAAAAGCCTATAAATACACTGCATTCCCTTCACAATTAGGGACCAATTCCTTTATACTCTTAAGATCAGTTTAGAATAGCATTTCTTTATATTTTTCTAGCATGTTTAGTCTCCAAATGAGGAGCTAAACTTCCATTTCTTGGTTTTGCTCTTGAAGCTTGTTGATTATTAAAGTTGTGAGTTATTTTCTTACTTTCTCCTCTTGATTATTAATTCTTCCCGTAATCTCATTCTATATTAATGTTGGAGGGTTGCTAAGTGATGATTAGTTAACGTTCCAACATTAATTATTACTAGAAACGATCAACGAACCGATGGTTAATCGTTGATGGTTTCACAAGTAAGTAACTTCGGTTTATTAATGCACGGTCGTGGTTAATAAACTTAAGAGGGATTAATTTTGTTGGTTAAACCGAAACCGTTGTGTTGAGGTTATCAATCTCAATTGATTTCATCAAGGAGTTAAAGAGGTTAAATGCTACTATTATATCGGTATACGG